TCTGTGGGTCTTTTTTACACATCACAGCCAATTTTCGTTTGTTACTTGGCTGAATAACAGAAGAACTTGTCTTCTTCTTCTTCTTTAACCAAATAGTCACTAAAATAAATAAATAAATAATAATATTATATAACAAATCTAATCTCAATTTTACTAAGACCCAGCCAAAGAGCTCTGTGGGTCTTTTTTACACATCACAGCCAATTTTCGTTTGCTACTTTGCTGAATAACAGAAGAACTTGTCTTCTTCTTCTTCTTTAACCAAATAGTCACTAAAATAAATAAATAAATAATAATATTATATAACAAATCTAATCTCAACTTAACCAAGGCCCAGCCAAAGAGCTCTGTGGGTCTTTTTTACACCACACAGCCAATTTGCTGAATAACCGAAGAAGAAGATGAAGAAGAAGGAAATTGTTGTTGATGTAGGTATTTGTTGTGTTTTAGTAATGCTAAAGTTTTATTGAAACCGCAAGATCTTTCATCGAACACCAAATAGCGTAACATGGTATGTGAATGTAAATATTTCATGATGAGAATTTAACCTCATTGCCGCATAAACGTACAACGTAGCTAATATGAGAAAAGTAAATGATGGGTTCTTTTTTTTTTTTTTTTATACAATTGCCAGTGCTGCTAAATCACTTTTTTTCTGAATTTCTGTTCACTATGGATGAATCGTGCGGAAAATTAATTGAGTTGATTTCATAAGTTGGTATAACGGTATTGTACGAAATAGTACAAATACAAGTCATTTACATTCTGAAAGATGAAAGATTTTAGAGATGTAAATATCAATTCCATGACAGATATATGATTATATACCTAGCGTCGGCTAAATTGATTTCCTTCCTTATGGTTATCATGTACCTACTCATGATAACTCTTGGATTTGCCACTTCCAAGAGTGGCTCCCTACGCAATGCCATCAGAGTAGTGGTCATCGCTGCTGGTAAAAGCGTATTTATAGCATTTCTTTGCCAATAAAATGAAATGGTTATGATAGGAGTAAAGAGTCCTCTCGCATCTATGCATGACTTTTTATCAAGAATAATTTGTGCAATTGCATTAGGTCTTTAAGCATTAGCTTTTTGGTATGTCATACAATTGGTTTTGCCACGTCATGTAGCCGGCGAAAGATTGAGGTTGTGAAAAGAGGAAAATTAAGTTAACCCTTTAGGTACTATGATGATTTGTGACGTTTTACAATTTTTTTTAAATCTTTTCCAGAAATGTGGTCAACAATCCATCACGTATTACCTGCCTACATGAAATTGATTGGGTGAAGATAGCGTTGATTAAATTGTGTGTGTTGAGAGCGAGAATTTACAACAATGTTTTCAACTGAAATATAAAAAAAAGTTGTTTTTGTTGTATTGGTAAGAGAGAGATAAGAATTGATAGTAGATCTCTTTTAAACGATTATGCCAGCAATCAGTGGAAGTTTTAAATAAAATATTTTTAGAAAGATTTTGAAAGCAGTTTCAAAAGAGCACAAGGCAAAAAAAAAAGAAGAAGAAGAAGAAGAAGTAGAAAGCGAAGTGCTTTATAATTCCGCAATTTTAATGCTGCTCAAACGTTAGAGATATAGATACGTTTGGTTTTTGGCAACAAAAAAAAAAAATTCCCTTGGGTAATTACTGAGGAAGCGAATGCTGTTGGAAGCGCACAACAGGCTATGGAAGCGCATAAGCACAGGAAAACCGCACTTGCTTGCACAAGAGCGGGATTGTGTTTGGCTGTTTTATATTGCCAATGCGTCTACGTTACGTATATATTGTGTGTGTGTGGGTGGGTGTTTATGTATATCTACTTTACTGCTATCTGTCCGTCTCTCTGTCCGTCCGTCCGTCTGTCTGTCTGTCTGTCTGTCTGTCTGTCTGTATGCCCAAAAGTAATGAAAGAATGTGCTTATTTCCGGGTCTCATGTGTGTTTGCATTAGAACACTAATTGAATTAACAATTTCTAGGGATAATTGTGTGAATGTGTGAGTGAGTCCAAGTACTCATACGGATGAACATATATTTACATAAGTGTATCTAATGCACGTACGTATCGTATTCGGTGTGATGGGTATAATGATGTGTACGATAGTGTTGTGTTTATGATAATGTAACAAAGAAAGAAAGGTAGAGAGAGAGAGAAAGAGAGAGTGAGTGAATGAATAAAATGGAGAGTATTAGGGCGAGGGAGTGAGATAGTGAATGAGAAAAAGGAATTTACGCTAGTAGTAAACAAAATGTTCTACGGCATACTACAAGAGCACATATGTGTGCACAGACTTATGTGTATTATACTTTTGTTCATATAGATTTTTTTGCAAATACATACATATGTGGGCATACATGTTATACATGTATTGTTAAAGGGTGCAATAAACTTGTACTTATTATTATTATTGTTGTTGTTGTTGTTGCTGTTAGTTGCTGTTAGTTGCTGTTTTATTTTTATTACATAAAATGCTGCACCGTATAAGTTAGGCAGGCACTGTTAATGTCATACACAGCGTCAGCGTACACTCACATAATTACCGAATATAATGCACTTGTTAGCAAATCTGTATGTATGTGCACATTATGAACAGTAATTTCCGTGTTTGTTTCATTTAATTATAAGTTAAGAATTTGTTTGGTTTTTTTTTTTTTTTTTAAATACCATAATCGTTCAAATATAAAATTTGATTATTTTTATAACAGAACAGTGTTTACTGCGCGCTAACTTAAGTCGAGTTCTTTACTAGCTTAACTTTATTTATTTATAAGAAGGCATCCGAAGGAAAAATGAAATTGATTTCATCTACAGATTCACATTAGAAAGAAATTCTTCCAATTTTATTGTATATGATAGATACTCACAAGTGGTGATTAAGATTAAGATTTTTCTCTTCAATCTATTGCTTAATCCTTTTCAGTATGAAACCAGTTGCAAATGGAAATCGTTTCTGTTTCGAATTTTGTTAACATCCATAAAACGTCCATATTATTAAGCAAAAATATATAGATACGATATAGGGAAACAAGGGGAAGAAGAGAAAATATCCACCCACACATGTTTAGTATAATAAATATAATTTTTTTTCTTATTTATTTATTTATTTATTTTTCTTGTTTTCTTTTATTTTTATTTTTTGTTTTTTGTTTTTGTTTTTGTTCTTTTTCTTATAATCTCACTGATTGTTCTCATTTTTTGGTCTGTTGTTCTCATTTTGTTAACAATCACATCTGTACAAATGTACACAAATCGTGCGATAGCATTTCTATGATTATCCAAGAATCTGTTTTTACCGAATAAACACAAATACGTGAAAATAAGACCACAGAGAAGATGAAAAAAAAAAAAAAAAAAAAAAATGAAAGCAAATAAAAATAAATAATAATGATAATAAATAAATAAATAAATAAACGAGAGTGAGAGAGAAAGAGATAGCATATAATGATACCGGAGAAGAAAATCTGGTTCATAGCATTTAACCGATATTAAGGTATTCCATATAAACATTTACACAATATTTAGTTTCACAACTCGTACAGTGATTATAATGTTTGCTCATAAACGAAATGAACTGGCCTGGCCTGGCCTAGCTTGGCATAGTTTGGCCGACTTGGCAACTGAAAATATTACAAAATATTTTATGACTGAGTTTACTTGAAATATATTACGGTATGCGAGTGAATGAAGATGAATGATGTAAGCAATACACGGCTACATATATATATATATATATTCACATATACACATACATATAGGATAATGTATAGCTAACTAAGAAGTTAAACGAAGCAAATAAACATGACAATCATTTTAGTCAAAATATTTTTCATTATTGTATAGCAGTCGATGTCCGTCCGCGTAATTGCCATATCATGAATTGTATATATGTATAGGCATCATTTGCAAGCAGCGCGTGCTTTCTATTATTATAACTACAAACTCCTCTAATAGATTTCACTTAAATTTTCAGTTTTTGGTTTTGTTTCCTTTTTTTTTTTGTTTTTTTGTTATTCACTAAATGCCGATATATAAGTAGTAACCAGTATACCAGCCATACGATATTGTACCATATATACGATACTATTGTATGCCGCACCATTGTTCCTATTAAATATTTAGTTCGCATAAATTTTGTGCGCAATAATTCGTTTAATGCGATAAAGCATTTGTTAAGAGCGTCGAACGCAATTAATTATCGAAATGCAATAGAAACGATTTGTATGGGTATTCAAATCGTATGAGAACATGAAATATATTCCAACTTGAATTGTAGAAAATTAACATTTGAGCTAATTGAAAAATTCGCGGACCACCATCATAGGCAATACAGTGGTGAGTGATCAAAGTACGTCGACTTTTATAAAATGGAGATTATATTGAAAGTCGTGAAATATGATTGAGTTCTCTTTAGGAGGACAAAATATTTCAAAGCTACGAAAACTCTTATTGCAAAAGTCAATGGGTAAGAACGCGAGATTTAAATTCAATTCAATTCAGTGTAATCCTTCTACACAGCGATTAACTCGTACTAGACTACAATTGAAACAATTCTAGATGATGGCGAGAATGATCCGTTCATAATCGTATTGGGATACGGAAGGAAACATGGCTCACATTGATAAAAATATTCTCTGGAGTCAATTAAAAAGGCGGCAAATGATCAACGGATTTATATTCTCATCCATTACTTTCATGTCAGCGCAGGTGTCAAAGACTCAATCCTTGACAAACATATCGTTGTACTCTCTACCGTTTGCGATGCAACGCATATTGCGAGGACGTCCAGAAGACCACCCTCTATTATTTCAATCGATTGAGAATCATTTTCGGAATGAATGGAAATATACCTGTTCATCTAATATCTGTCCGTGCAATTCTTTGGATCAAGCTATAGTTCGCAATTTTTTATAATATTTTGGCGGAATTTGCTACAGTGACATGTTTTAGCTCAACGACTATAATGGGCTTCTTTTTTTTTTTTGACTGAGCTTTTCGATCCTCTCTTATATAACAGTTCCAACGAAAAGTACAGCTTAATATGCAAAACGATTATATTTTTGAATATTTTGTATTGAGAATTGGTTCATAAAAGAAATTTGACGAAGAAAATTCACTAATAAAAGATTAACTAAATTTGGATTGCATCGGTCTATTTTTTGCATCTTGCAGGGAAGCCTTCATAAGACAATAATATATATATCTTAATATTTAATGAAGAAAGTTGGCCTACAGTAGTATACTTTGAGATAAATAATAAAAGTACCAAAATTGAATCAAATCGCGACCTACTTGTTCGGATCTATCCCATAAAATATTCTCATGAAAAATAGCCTCCTTCTATAGCAAGACGATCTAATTCTTAATATTAGTTTGAGGAAAATAAAAATCCATTATATTTTTGTCTTGATGGCTGCAATGATCGATATTAGTAAAGTGTGTATCGATCAAACAACTTCAGATTTATGCTTCAGTTGTAACTTTCGGGGCGTTAAAAATAGAAGTCAACAAAGAAAAAATTTTGTAGATATTACCGCTTGTCTGTGATAAAGGCGAAAATGTAAATCAGGCGGGTGAAATTGTGAAAGGTGTTTATGGTTCCGGTCAGATACTTTTAATGTTAAGGATGCAATCCCGCACAGGTAATCCACTCATTGAAAATGTTAATAAAATCGTAGAAATGATCAAAGTTGATCGCCCGGACGTTAAAGATCGACTAGAAAACAGTTTGAAATAATTTTCAAATTCGACTCGAAAAAAAGTTTAGTGTTTGGATGGTACAGCCATTAACATAACAAATGAATGTCAGAAGGCCGCGAAGTCTTGGCCAAACGGAACGAAATCGACACATTTGCAAAAACGGATGGGGATGATGGGAATGAGAAACGATTATGGTCAAAGCGCGATGAAGCAGCTGAAACGGTGACCAAAGCACGACTAACAGTTCTGCTGTGCATTTGATGGGACTGTAAAGAAATCATTTGGAATAATATGGCCAAGCAATAGGGGCCTCGAGTGCTATCCGAGAGAACCAATGAGGTACCATGAAGGTACCATTAAAATTGCAACAAATTATAGAACAAAACGGTGCATGTTTGACCAAAATTGATCAGCGGAAACATGTTAAATGAAGTCTTGAGTGGCGGGTAAAAATAATGGATTTCATAATCGTCCGACCTAATGTTAATCCGTAAGAGAAAATCCGGCGTAGATCGTTTACATCATTTAGATCGCAAATTACCTCGTATAAGATCTAAATAAGGTAAACGAATTAGTGTAGGGTATTGAGTGTTCGTCCTTGCTTGAACGTAATAATTTTACTTGCTTTTATAGTTTTTTTTTTTTTTTTTTTTCGTTTTCGATGACGTATAGAAAAATTGTTTAGGTCATTGCTTGTTCGTTCATATCATTGTTATTACTTTTTTATTTTTTATATATTTATATATTTATTTTTTTTTTTAAATAGAATTAAATATTTGGAAAATTAATAAAATTAAAAGTATGTCGAGTTTGAGAAAAGAATTCACATTCAAAGATTTGACGAATATTGCTTGCGGTGCGTCAACTATTGGTCCGATCAATTTAACAGCACTACATATATTAGTGTTGTGTTTACTTCGCAAGCGACAACATGAGGCCGAAATTGTAAGCATTGAAGGTATTGCGGCAGTTTGTTTAAGGAAATTATTGAAGAAATGCAAAGGGCCTAAATTCACTTTTCAATATGTGGAGCCAAAATTTAAGCATAAATTTGATCTCCTTGAAAAGCTTGAGATACGTATGATATGCCTTCAAAGAAATTATGAAAGGCATCTTCAAGATGCGCGTAATTGCCAGAAATATGTCAAATATCCAAACAGTGAATGGTCAGCGTATAGCTTGCAAACCGAAGATCTAAGAGAATCGGATACCGATTTGGGTAAATTGCTTGAAAATCGTTTATTCATAAGCGTTCTACGCGAAAAATCAACTAACGTAGTACTTGAAAAACTTGCCTGCCTGGAGGTTAGGATTGAAAATTTGCGCGGAAAACTTGAAAAATTTCGAGCAGATTTAAGTGAAAAGGATGTTTTGAAAAAGATCGATGCGATTATACCAATGTGTAAAGAAATCAAAAAATTAGACGAGATAGCTAACGGAAATAGTGCACTATTAACGAGCAGCGCGCCAGAGATACAAGACATGTTGAATTGTAAAGTCGATCGGGTGATGTTGCCATCGTTAAGTAACTGGTTGAAGTCCGAATTTCCTAAAACTGAAAAAGTTCTTATGGATTTACTCAACATACCCGTTGAATGCGTTTCCGGCTCAATTTGGAATCAGATGAATAAAAATCTTTGCTTATCTTGCGGTAACAACTTCACATCAACAAATAACAATGTATTGCACTTTAGGGATTGGAATGCAATATGTTCTTGTCAGCCGTTTACCAAATATAGTAATCTGCTCGAGAAAATTAAGAAATTCCGCATTAGAACTTTTCGATTGGCTCGTCAGTCAAGGACGCATTCCTTGCATATGTTGCCCGTTAATTTAAGGAAGACGCATTCGATAATTTCACTTTCAAAGTACAATAAAGCACGGGATCGAACTCGGTCGTTCGAAACGAGAGACTTGTCTTCCTATTTGAACCAAAGTGCGATATTTAAACCGCTTGTTTCAATTCGAGTAGACGAGAGTAGACGAGACGTCAGACCATTTTTACGAGCTCATTCAGTCGTCAGTTTAAACACGGCTTCATTTGAATAAATCGGATAATTGAATGTACAATTAATTGATATGAAACTCTTGTTGTTTTTTTTTTTTTTTTTTTTTACTATGCCTATGTGTCGTATGGCAATTAACTGAATGATTAGACAGAAAATATAGTCGAAAAGGCGGATGGAGATCGAGCAGGGGGCAAGTATACCTCAAATGAGACGATGCTAACAAGTCTGTTATTAATCGGAATATTTTCCCATTTTGCTCTTTAAAGGACATCATCCGATTTCCTAATCTATGTTTAGTATCGGAATCAATTATATATAGAAAAGAAAATTAAAATAAAACACTTTAGTTCGATCGTATGTTTTTTTCTTTTGTAATATTTTTTTTTTTTTTTTCCCCCGTTTTTATTCCTATAGCGTTATATTCGTAATGAGAGAGGTGCTATCATTTGTAACGAAACTGACAATAGAATCGTGTTTATCGTCTAGATCGAAACTTATTGAACCTGAATAGATTAAATGTTCCGGTTTCTTTTCATAATCCTCAAAATGTTGAGGTGTTCGCACCTTAAAAGTCCTCGGGCAAATTTTTCCTTTCTCGTAATCACACTCGACTTTCATTTTCTTGCGATCTGAAATTTTTTTCCAATCAATATTTTGATTACCGCACGACAAACATTTATCGCCGCTTATCTTTAATGGTTTTAATGGCTTGCAAGTTATTGGGCCTTGTTTTATTTCTTTTAAAATTTCACGAGTAAATTGCGAGCGCTTTTTTATGTAATTCACTAAACAAGGCGAATGTATACGATCCAATTTTCCGTATAGCATTTCGTTTAATTCACGAACAGCATCTAAAAATATTAAATTATTTTCGTTGACCTGTGTCTTCATAATGTGGATATTGGTTATTAGCGGCCCAACTAAGTTCAAATTTTCATGTGTTTCATAAGCTTTTTCATTGAAACGTCTAATACGTTTTTGCACTTCTTCGACACGGTTTTCTAAACGCGTCATATTTTTGAATACTGGAAGTAGCATATTTCGACGTAGATGCCGATTGAAATAACCATTTTGAACCAACATGCAATCTTCACTTTCTACAACGCCCGGAATGCGGCATAAATCCTCATATTCGCTAGTGTAATGGCCCCATTCCAGGCTCGAAAATAAATGATCCATACTTTTGCCATTCTGTCGTATCAATTCGAAATGCTTTTCCAATTTCTCCTGCACTTCCAACGCACGTTCCTCCAGATCAATCAAACTTGCCGGGCTATCGCAATTAATTTGCATCGCAGGTTTAAACTTCATTGGCGGATCGCGACATTCCCATATCATTTTTGATAAGCATTCCGCCCCTATTCCACCTATGGTGACTATTTCGTTGCGACAATTTAGCTTTTCCAAAAGGAAAAGAAAAATCGCATGTAATATAACTAGATTTTCTTTGTTTAACGTGGGCGCACCTAAAGCAATGCGCAGCAATTCACCCACCGTATACTCCTTACTTTCCATTGCCAAAAAACAAAAAAAAATAAACGAAAACGTATAGTTGAAAAGGCGATTCGAAGATCACTCAGTACATATGTAAATGAGATAAAAAAATAGAAATTTTTATCAAAATCTGACAAAGTAAAAGATGAAAATCGAATCGACTTGATAGACCAGTTGTTTATAGCTTTAAAAATATCTTTTTCACAAATAAAATTACGACGCATTCATCTTGAAGTGAATGCTATTTCAAAGTAAACTATGATAATTAAATGACTGGAGCAGAGAGAAATTTTATCGACAACAATAATTATTTACAATAAATACAAGGAAAATAAAAACAATGAATTTTATGGTCAGAGAAGGCCGTGATCATAAAATTCCTTATAGTACTTTGCTTAAAACAAATTTTCCTCACACAAAAAAATTTTCCAAAACAACTCTCTATGTAAAGTCAAAAAGTCAAAATTCATTTTCTTAATCTATTGTTCAACTTGAAATGGACTTTGTTTTCATTCATATAAGGATTTGCTATTGCATAAGAACGATTACATGGAGAGAGGGAGGGAGCTTATAAAATTTGTCCATTTCGTTCAAAGTTTTCACTTTCAAGTTATTGCGTTCGCGTATAAAGACTTTTTCTAAATATTATATGGAGACCGACTGCGATCGACTGAACATCGGCCCACTTAATACAATTTTCAAAAATAAAAAAAAAAAAAAAAGTGAACTAAAATGAGTTAAAATATAATATAAAATTGTGACAGGTAGACTGAGTACAAGAATGGATGGACAGACAAGCAAAATAATCCTGTATTGTTCAGTTTAATAAAAGCAAAAAAGAGTCTATCCTATGTCCCTCTGGATGGTACATACTCCCGCATAAGATCAAAATACCATATAATGTATTCAGAGCAGGACTTACATAGCCGCATTGAAATTTTCACAACTTTTGTACCCATTTGGGTACACTGATAGTAAAATATTTGTATTGAAATAAAATTCTTTCGCCAAGTGACTACTCATACTGGCGGCCACGAATTGTTTAATATTTACGCGTGTTTAATATTTTGAGAACCTCTTCGAATGAACTGCGCGATCGATCAGAATTCCAGATTTCCATTTATTATCTAATAAAAGGAATCGTAAATTTTTACCACTGAATGCCTTAAAAGCAATATCTTTGCAATACCACAGACTAGCGTTCAAATGTTCCTTATTCCTTAATCCTCCTGCATTTAAAGTCGATCATCTTTAAAAAAAATATTATTTCCTCTTCTCTTCTTACTTGACAAGGAAGGACGAAGGCATATGACCTGACTGGCTGGTCTTGAAAAAAAAAATTCGTTTTTTTTATTTTTTTTTTATTAAATTTATTTGATGAAAGGAGTAGATAAGATACATGCATATAAGCAAAGCTTAGCGTGTAAATAAGCTGGTTAAAGAGGTCATTACAGTTTTAATAGATTCATTGAAAAGGGATAGATCACTGGGTTCATCTACTATGGATTTTTGGCGTTCTTTTACTGCTGATTCTCGGGCTACAGCAATCTTTTTCTCAAGGGGCGACTTATAATCTAGCCAATCAAAGCATTTGATTTCGCTGCATTCCCTGTGACGTCGTTTCGGCGATTTTAACTCGATACGTGCATTCGGATTAATGTTAAAACTACACGACAAACATTGGTCAGGTGTAACCTGAATCAGGGTCGTTTTCGGGCAAAGCATTTTATTTTTCCTCAATTGCTTAATATTTTTCTCAGCTCGTTTAAAATTCTTCTTCAAACAGTTGGTTATCGTTGGTAGAAAGATGCGATCCGTTTTAGCGATCAGCATATCATCCACTTCTTCGATGGCATTGATATACGTAACTATATTGGAATCGAATGCTTTATGTAACGCGGCAATTTCATAGGTTATCGAATCGACCATTTGTAAACGATTCATATTTTCTTCGGTATTACTGACAAAGTCAGCGAGCGCTTGATTCAGTTTATCGATAATTTTCTCAAATTCATCGAATTTCTCTAATACCGGAACCAATATGTTATGACGTAATTTAAAAATAAAATATCCATTATTAAGGAATTTGCAAAACTCTCTGGCATCTAAGCCCGGGCATGTGCATAAATCTTCGTTTTGCGACGAGTACTTATCCCACATTCTAATATCGAATAATTTATCCTTAACTCGACTACATTCACATAATTTCGACAAATGCTCGGCATATTTTTCTTCCAGATTCATTAAATGTTTATCCAAAGTGTCGATTTTTTTGGAACGTTTGGCCCCCTTGATATTGCAGCTATATGCATCCGCTTTGGTCAACTTTAACGGCTCTTCGCAATGCGGCAATAATTCTTTTAAACAGTTAGCCTCGACGCCCTCAACGATGATTGTCTCACATTCACAATCCATTCGATTTAGCAAATACCGTAACAAAGCATGCAACAAATGTAAATTTTCTTTATTCAATTGTGGCGAACCCAGCGCTATACGCAATAATTCGGCCATTGTATAATCGTCATTGGTCTCCATATTTAAGCACCGATATCGATGATGATTTTGCCAATTGCAAACGATCGAAATACGTTCAAATATATATATATATATATATATATATATATAAAATCGATGGAATTCTTTAATAACAGCAGACTTATTGATTGTTATGTAACAAAAAAAAAAAAATAAAAATTTTGTTTTTGCAAAAAATAAAAAAAAAATTATTTTTATAAATCACGTCTCGACCTGTTCAATAATTGTAATGAAATGAAATGCACAAAAAAAAAAAAAACAGAAGAAAATATGTACCTTTTGACATATGAAATATGCAAATAAAAAAAAAAAAATATATATATATATATATATATAAATAAGTAAATAAATAAAACTCATCAACAGCAACAACAACAAAAATGAATAAAAAAAGAACAAGAAAAGATGAAATTGAAAGTCTTTCAAAAGTGATAAGAAATACGTAGTCAATCAAAAAACCACAAATCAAAAATACTGAAATCGATTCAGCTAATGATTCTTATATTGATAATGATAAAGCGAAAAAAAGAAAAAATAACAAAAAAAAAAAAAAAAAAAAAAATAGTCATGTTAAGTAAACAGTAAACATTGTTCTATTGCTACGGCAGATGCATAAGATTGATAGGTTGACATCAAAACGAAAGAATCAAAACTTACTTGAAGTTAGACATTATTAATCACAGCTGATACACTCATAATGTATATACATACATACATACATATATATGCATGTAACGTATGCATGCTTCAGACTTGGTAAGTGAGAGAAGCGATGGACTGATTATTTATGGCGTTAATTAGTTTTAATTTTCGAG